AAAAAAAAAAAAAGGCAACTTAAATATATTTAAATATTGGGTTTTTCTTCGAGACCCTCCCTCAGCTGAGATTCCTGTGTTGAAACCAGGAAATCGGAACTTAGTGCCAAGTTCTGAACCGACTCTATTTCTTACCACACCATTAAAATACTTACCCAGGAAAAAAAAAAAAACTTATCCAGGAGCAAAAGCAGGTGAGGCCCAGGGAAGGATGGTGAGAAGGCCAGAGAAAAAACACTAAAATACACATTTTTTAAGCAATGGAAGAGATGAACAGGAATGGCCCTGCAGGTAGGGAATTCAGCTGCCTTCACAGAGAACTGGAATGAGGTTTGTTCGCTACAGGCGTGCAATGGGCATACTGCCCTGTATTCTTCCATCTGCAGGTGTGAGACCCCTACCTCCTAGGCCCGGAGTTTCCTGCGGACAGGGAAGTGCTGTCAGCCTCTGGGGCAGGCCCCCCCACCCCCCACCCCCGTGACCTTCTTAGAACATCTGCCCCCACAGAGGGCACGTGTGGAAGCAGAATTTTCACAGCCACTCAGGTCATAACTCTAACTTAAATACTTTTCATTTAAAAATATTTATTAAAATAAAGATTAAACCTGAAAAAATGAATTACCAGAATGCAGCCCTTTGCATAGTACTTCAAGAATCAGAAAAGAAAAGAAAAGAAAAGAAAAGGGGAGGGAAAAGAGAGGGGAAGGGAGGCATAAGAAAATCTCTGATCTTCCCAGACAGCAGGGAGGAGGGAGAAGACTGCCCGCCCTCACCAAAGCCAGCAGAGAGCTGTGGAAGGTTCTCTGGTCTTAGGACTTGCTGGTCCAGAGAAGTTTCCACCAGAGCAGAGGCCCAAGAGTCACAGACACCAAGCCCAGAGACCAGATTTCCCCAAGGGTGTGTAAACTTCAGGAATTTGACTGGAGAACTGGAATTTAGGAACAGTATTCTGAAAGCCTGCAAAGTCTGAAGAGGCAGAAGCCAGGCCCAGAGCCTCTAACTGCCCTTGGGCGCCACGATCTGTTAGACGTAGTTGACTACATTGTGGTGGAGCCGGGGTGGGAGGGGCAGTGGCGATGAAGGTCTCCTTGGCAAGGGTCTGGGCCACCTCGCTGCCAGCCATCATTGCGTGGTACAGCGGAAGAGTGTACTTCTGCTTCCCCTGCAAGAAACACACACACACCCGTGGCCTGAGCAGCCTGCTCAGTGAGTCGGCACAGCCCCCGGCCCCGGGGCCGCTCCAACAGCAGGCCTCAGCAGGTGCCAAAGAGGATGTGGGTAGCAGCGCTAGAATAAGGAGGCTCCCAGACAGGCGTGCTCTTATTCTGGCATCTTCTTGGGGCCAAAGATCCCTGCAGGTAGATCTTCGTATTCACTCCAATCCATGCTAGCACAGGGGTGTCTACACTCATTTTTTTTTTTTTTAAGTAGGCTCCCCAGCGTGGAGCCCAACATGAGGCCTGAACTCACGACCTAGATCAAGACTGAGCTGATAGCAAAGGCTGCCGCCCATAAAACTGAGGGCCGCGTGAGGCCCAACTGCAGGCAAGCACAAGAAAACCCACAAGTCAAATTCACACCCATGTGAGAAAGCTACATCACAAAGCTCCTCAACTCCAGAGGCTTGGAGAAGCCTGCAGAGGGCTCACAACACCTCCAGACAGGAGCGCAGCTCCCACCGCAAACGGATGAGGGCATCCGAGCGCTGCTTTGGACCCAGCCCCATCCTGCCCTGGGCTCTGAGGCACTCCGCCCCTTCCCCAGCAGAGCCGCTCTCACGGGGCGCCCGAGGCTCCTGCTGGCCTCTGAGCCCTCCCAGGTCTCGGGCTTCCCCAGGAAGCAGGAACCTATGATCTTACCCTTCACTCACCTCTCTTGTCCTTGGGCCCCTCTCCCCAAGACCAGCCCTCGAGTCCCGCTTTACCCTTCTTCCCAGTTTGGGGTTAGCTCTGACCAGCTTGGACTCTTCAGGCCTTACCTGGTGATCTGCAAAAAGCTCCCCAACCCCGGAGGCTTCTTCCCGCCATGGGAACACCTCCCCCAGCCACACTCAGGAACCAGACCACTGCGCTGGGTCCTCTCCCTTCCCCTCCCTCCTCTGCTCCACAGAAGAGCACACGGGGAGGCTCGACCCACGGGACTATGGACAGTAGGGCGAGGCGGCCCACCGTGTGGGGGTCACCCACCTGGCTCTGCAGGAATGCCTTCACTTTCCAGAAATCCTCCTGGTGGTCATTCTTAAGGACAATCTGGCCCCATCGGAGCCGGAGCTCCGCGTTCTGGGAGTCTGAGATCTTTGGGTATGTCTCTCTGAGGGTCTCCACGTTCCCTGAAGAAAGAAAACAGGTTTTTAATGGCTGTGTCATCAGAGACACGAGTGTGTCTGCCCACAGGCCCTCCTGAAAGCCCCCAGGATGACGTCACGGAGGTTCCCGACCACCCCCTTTACACTCATCCTGCTCATCTTATTCTCTGGAAGGGCGCTGTCCGATCCTTAAGTTTACCTTCATTTCTAAGGCTCTTCCACCAAACTTCCCTTACTGTAATTACAGACTTTCTGCCATCATCCCACTTACCTTCCAGGTTAAAAGCCCAGGTATCCCCCTAAAACATGCTGCGCCCCCCCCCCCTTTTCTCCCACCACCACTAAGCTGCTGAAAGTTCTCCTGGCTTTCACGGGTTCTCTTTCCAGCACCTCCAGGTGAATGTTATTTCTGGCTGAGCAGCCACGCAGCAAGAGTGGGGGCTATTTGTGCACAAGCTCATCCTCCGTTCCCTGGGGGTCACAATCACAGCCCCCAGGCACGGAGCGGTCAAGAGGACTCAAATGAAGACTTCGATGTGAAGAGCTGAGAAGAATCACCTGCAGAACTCGAGGGCACAGCAAGCGCTAGGCTTTAGGATTCTCTTCCTAACCTGTGTGCAGGACTCACAGCAGCTGTTGACGTGTTCACCTTGAGGGGCTTGCATCCACTTGCCAAACCCTGGCAGCTGCCGAGGGGTGAGCCCTGCCCCTGATATCAAGCTCTGTACACAAGGGACCTTGATATGCTGCATTGATTTACCCCACTTTTTCTTACCGGGAGGGAGAGGGGATTTCTGGAGGATCTTATCGAGGAAATACACCAGCTGGTAGGTCTTCCAGGCAGAAATGGCCACAGCTTCAATGGCCTTCATGTCCAGCTCCTTGGCCACCCACAGCTGGGCCAGCTCTTCAGCGGGCTTCATAAGTGAGTCCCCAGGGGAGAGGTCAGGGAGGTAGGGGGGCCAGCCCGGGGTATTCAACCACCGATCAAACTCAAAACCTGTTTGGTGGAAGGAGAGGGGGCTGTCAGAATTCTCTGGCAGCTTCAAGGCCAACTTGGCTCCAGCAACACCTAGATCGCAAGCTCCTGTCTGCGTCTCTCAATCCCAAACTGCTCCTCTAATTTTAACATCACTTTCTCACAGAACTACCTGCTCTGGTCGGGTCTCACTAATACTGAGACCCAGAGATTGTTATTGTCAGACTGGATGGCCCCTTTTTCTACTGTGACAGTCGTTTTGATTAACACTGGGCTGCCAGAACCAAGTGGATGAAGGCTTTCCTAGCTTTAGTCAAGTTCACGTTCTCCTTCAGATGAGAACAGCACGGTGTTGAAGCTCCTGGGCCCTGGGGCCAGGCTGCCTGGGCTCCTATCCCAGCCCTGCCATGAACTAACTGGGAGGCCACGGGCATGTTACTTCGCTTCTCTGCGCCTCCGTTTTATCTGTAAAATGATAAAAGGCAAGAGGCCCTGCATGTGTTGGTAGTGGTGAGGATTAAATAAGCAAATACACAGTACGAGTCTAGCATGCTGCCTGGTGCGTAGTGAGCACTCAGTAATTATTAACTTTCATTAGCCAGGGAGTCTCGTGACCTTCAAGTGCAGGCCTCCAAGCACAGGGTAGGTGCCCCAGGCCTGACCAGTCCCAGCTGTCAGGGGACGTGAGTTTACCAGACCAACGATGGCCTGACTCAGAGTACCCAGCAGAAGTGGGGTGTCTCCAGGGGCAGCCTCATCCACGACAGGCCACCGTCTCCTCTCTCTTAGGGCCTCCCAAGCCGAAATCAGGGTGGCCACCGGGATTTGGCTTCACTCAGAAGGCCGTATGGGGCAACTCCATGCTTGCAAGGCGGGGCGGCTGCCGGTACCGTGGGCCTGGGTCATAGCTGGGGCGGCGGCAGCTCTCTGGGCAGAGTCGGGGGTCTGGTTATGTGTGTGTACGTGTGAGGAAAATGGGGACACAGAGGAGACACTGAGGGGAAAAAGTGGAGAAAACGAGGCCTGGAGGAGCTGAGAGAAATCATTCCTGTGGAACAAGGCCTGGGACCCTGGGTGTGCGCCCCTAGGTGCCACTTACTGGAGGACTTGGATTTCGTATTTTCCCGCCCCACTTTCAGTCTTCCTGGATATAAATCAGACATAATTCTCTATCATCTCCCAGGAGCCTTAAGCCAGCTCCTCTGCTCACCTGGAAGGGACTCCACATTCTTTTTCTTCAGCTCAGGGAAGTATTCCAAGTAGAATTCTAGAAAGTCCTCAGCTAAGATACTTTGGAATTTGAATTCATTAACATAGGCCTGCAGGGAGGGAGGTACTTTTCAGTCATGCTGGATCCTGTGGGGAGTACAGTCCCTCCGTGCCTCAGGTCCTCCTCCAACCCCTGTCCCTTCGGCCCCCGTCTCTACCCCTGAACTCTGGCCCGGCTGGCTTCTCGGCGCCTCCTTCTCCCATCTCTGAGTCGACTATACCTTGAGAAAATTGTCAAATTGATCCTGATCACCCACCAAGTGGGCCAGGTATGAGACAAAGCAGAAGCCTTTCTCGTAGGGAGTCTCGTTGTAGGTATCATCTGGGTCCACACCTAGCAGAGAAAGCAGACACTTATAACCTGTCACTTTGTTGTCCTTCTCCAGCTCCAGATTCTACAAGTAATTATGGACGAGATCAGAATTCAGCTTCCTCGGATTTAGCAAGGCCAAGAAAGTTTCCAGATCCACCTTGGCCTCTCTCAAGCCACTTCAAAGTTGATCTTAAAGGGTCATTAACTACGGATCTAACAAGAAGACAAAGAACCAGCCTTCCTGGGGAATTGGCAAGTTTCCTTATTCCTGGGATTGCTTTGCTCCAGTGGGTTCCATGGACTCTTAGGACTGAGCACAGGGCTTGGTGCCTTTTCCAGCCCAACTGGTCACCACCTCCACTCAACCTCCCCTCCCAGAACAAGTGGTTGTTTCTACGAATGTTCTAGACCAAAATAAACGAATGACCAGTCTACAAGAAGTTCATTTTCATGGTCACTGGCATCAAGGAACGTGAGCTTAAATCACACACAAAGGTTTTAGATTAGTCATACATGGAACTAAAGAAAGATGTCAGAAAATAAAAACACATGACCTTGGACAAGTCATTTGACTTATTGGGCGCTCACTCACGTCCTCTGTAAAATAAGCGGTCAATCTACAAGACTACAGGTCTGACTTGATAGAAAAAGAATGGCAAAGAGCCCTGGAAAATGATAGGGGCCCGTACAAATGCAGAGCAACAGTAAAGTCACTAAGAACTGCACAAAACTGGAAAGAACTCCCATTGGGCTGGAATGGCTTCCGCTGAGTCTGCCTAGAGGCCAGGGAATGGCTAAAAAGAGCTCTGGAGGGCTCCTCCTTCCCAAGGAGAGTATTCAGGGTGTGCACTGATCAACATGAAGCTCAAATAACTTGGGGTTCCAAGCTCAATGTCGGGGAGGGGGTAGTCAGACAGAGGAGCCTCCCGGACCTGGTTCGATCTTCACGCGGAGCTTGTTGAGCGGATGTTCCTCGCCAGTGATGTCCATGTGCTGCCGAAGCAGAGCCCGGCCAGTTGCAGCTTCCAAGCAGGTGTAAGCAGAGCCTGGGGCAAAAAGAATCCTTAGGCCTCAAACCACGTCCAAGTATAATTTCCAGACAAGAAGGTGTGCTGCCTCCTTGTGGCCACAAGAACAATGACAGATAACTGAAGATTCATATTGTGACCCTCTGGGGACCCCAGGGCCAGAAGGGTCAGTGACAGAGAACCTGACTCAGCCCCCAGCTCCTTGTTGCTCTGGACTACAAATGACTCGGTTAGCTCAGGCTGTCAGTCTCGCCCAGACATGAGGATGAGGGAATCTCACACCTTTTCCTGTGACTGTTACCTTTCCTCATCAATATGCTTTTATTTTTAGACATAGTAATTTGATCTTCAATAAAAGCAGACTATTTTCCTTTGACTGTTCCTGTCAGACAGCAGAAACTGTCACCCAATATTTTTCTAGGTGTCTCTACATTTCCTTCTGGCTCTAAAAATGGAGGGGAAGGGGACCAGGTTTCGAACCAGCCTCCTCTGCCACTCACAAGGTGTTCAGACTCTGGGAGAGGTACTCAATCTCTCTTAGCCTCAACTTCTTCATCTGCACAGTGGGCTGACAACATGTGCTTGCAGGATTCTTAGTGGCTCAGTAAGATATTCACAAACAGGCTCTTGTTCCATATACTCTGGATGAAAGTAAATTTGCACAAACTTTCTGGGAGGCAATGGACAATATGTGCTAAAAAGTCTTTAAAATGTTTGGATCCAGAAATTACAGTTCTAGGAATTTATCTCCATTGAGATGGTCTGGGATATGTTACGAACATTTATATGTAGAAGTATTTGTCCAAATATTCTTTCATTAGAAAACTGAAAGTAACAGGGGCGCCTGGGTGGTTCAGTCAGTTAAACATCCGACTCTTGATTTGGGCTCAGGTCATGATCTCAGGGTCATGAGATGGAGCCCCCTGTTGGGCTCCACACTCAGCGTGGAGTCTGCTTGAGATTCTCTCTCCCTCTCCCTCAGCCCCTTCCCCTGCTCACACACACTCTCTAAAAAAAAAAAGAAAAACTGAAAATAACCTAACAACTGGAAACTGAGTATGTTAAGAAACGTCCATACAATGCAGCTATAGAAGAAAATTTAATGACTTGGGAAAACGTTTAACTTTATGAAGGCAGTTGGAAGGTCTGATGATTCACCCACACACAGGAAAATGTCTGAAAGGATATACATCAATTATCTCTGAACAGTGAGATTATGGATAAATCTATTGTGCGTGCTTTCCCATATAGATCAAAATAGATTTTGATGAGAGAAATAATAAAAATAATACATGTCATGTATTTTTTCTTTTAGGATTTTTTTTTGATTTATTTATTCATTTGAGACACAGAGAGAGAGAGCATGAGCAGGGGGAGAAACAGACTCCCCGCTGAGCAGGGAGCCCGAAGTAGGGCTAGATCCCAGGACCCTGGGATCATGACCTGAGCCGAAGGCAGATGCTTAACGACTGAGCCACCCAGGCACCCCATACATGTTATATTTTTAAAGCACCTGATATGTAGCAGGTTTTCAATAATGAGACAATGTTGAGAAAGTTATTTTAAAAGCACACCTGGGCTCAATGTGGGGTTCTGCCCCCACCTGCCAAGTGGCTTGGACACATTTCTTATACTTTTTGAGTCACAGTGAGCTCATATATAAAATGGAAATTATATCTGTTTCATAGAGCTATTGTGAAATTGTTAAATGACGTATTTTTAATAAAGTGCCTGTACCAAGCTGGTAGGTAGGTGTTCAATAGGAGGTAATGATTATAATGATCTTATGATTCCTTTGTAAGATTAACTAGCTATGTGGGTGAATGACCCTGGGCAACTCTCCCCGAGGGGTTGCCTGGCTGTTGGGAGAACAGAGCTTTGAGTGTGGTTTCAGCTTAGCTGCGGGGTCCTTTCACTGTCGGGCCCCATTGGTTCATTCAGCCAACATGCAGTTTCTGAGACCCCCTCTCCCCACCGCGCCTCCTGCCATGTGACGCAATGGGGCTCATCCACTTGGAAGGGACTTTTGTCTAGAGCCGGCCCTTGCTGGCCTCTCGCCGGAGTTTTCTGCACCACTGCCCCTCCCTTCATGCCCGCTTGTGTCCCGAAACCCCGAAGGAGATCACACTGGCCTCGCAGGTGAAAGAATGGGGTGTGGGGTCCCTAGGAGAGCTGGCTTACCGAAGAGGACCGTGGAGATCCTCCTCTGCGCATACATGGTGAAACCTTCATTGAGCCAGAATTCACCCCAGTTGGCATTAGTGACCAGGTTCCCGAACCAACTGTGGGAGATCTCGTGGATGATGACGTCGGCCAAAGAGCGGTCCCCTGCCAGCAGGCAGGGGGTGACAAAGGTCAGACAAGGGTTCTCCATTCCTCCAAACGGAAAGGATGGTGGCATGAAGAGCAGGTCATACCTGCCGAGAAAGCAGGAGGTCACAGACAGGTCTCGGCTCCCCAGGGCAGAGACCCTGCCTCACTTCCCCAGGCGGGACCCTCGGCCTAGACAGATGCAGCCACTGAAGAGGCAGCATGCAACCCCAAGCCCAGCGCTGAAATGACACTAAGATTCCTCCATCCCCAAGTCGCTGGGACCTCCCTTTCCCCAGGTTTTGCCCTCTTGGAGGCGGCTCTCTGAAACCTGCTCCCCGTTCTCCTTCCAAGCAGGGTATGGTCCTATCATCAGCTCTGTCACAGTCAGCTTGCTGATGGCTCGCTTGGGGTCACACAGATCTAACAGAGCCTTTGATCTGAGGTGGCTAAAGTCTGGAGATGTCAAAGGAAAAAATGGGAGTGTGTGGCTGCTTCTAGTCACCAGGAAAGGTAAGTCACAAAGGTCCCCAAGATCCCCTGACAGTGTTTCCCCATCTCCACACTCAGCAGCTGGAAGGCCCATTTTTATTACTTCAATAACCCTCTCTCTCCGGGTCCCTCCTCAGCACAGTGAAGTAGGCCTGGCTTCTCCCTTCCTCTTTCTCTTCCTCCTCTCCTTTACTTCCGGGATTGGGGAACTTGGCTCTAGGGGAGAGAGGAGAAGCAGCACCAGAAGGAAGAGAGGGGGAAACCAGGGACTCAGTTTAGCTAAAGACATTAGAGTCAATGTGATACCACACCTTCCCCAAACGTAGGGTCCAAAAAGTTTCTCTCCTGTAGCCAGAAATTCTTCTATCACCCCACTGTACTCCTCCTTGGCAGCCTCGATCAGGCAGGGCTCAGCCCACACCCGGCTCCTAAAGACAAGAGCACAGAAAAAAGCAGGCTGGTGTTTGGAGACCCATCGTGGAGGCCCAATCTCAAAAGCACCTGGAGAAACCTGGCAGTCTCATATCTGAGCCGAATGCATGCGACAGTGTGGCCAGCCACAGAGACAGGAGGTGCAAGGTCAGATCGCCTACACGGGTCCAAGACTGCTCGCTACACCTGATAAATAAGACCCCAACACAGCGTCCTGGAGGAGCTGCCCCCGTGTGCAACAGGCTCGAACTCACAGCGCCATCATGTTCCGTCTCCAGCACTGAAGGTGACCTTACAGTCACTGACCTCCCTGAGCCTCAGTGCGTCTATCAGTAAAGTGAGCGGGGAAGATGAAAGAAGACAGCACGTAAGATAGCAAAGTGGATGGGCTCCAGGTCAGGAGGAGGGAAGGTTTCCCCTCTGTCCCTGTGGAAGCTCAGGAACTGCTCTAGCAGAAGGAGAAGGAGCAGGGGCTTCCCCAGGAGCAGAAGCAAGGGCCTAGGAGAGGAAACTGTACATGCAGGTGAGGAACCACCGAGAGTCTGGGATACTGGAGCACTTACCATCAGATCAGGGCTGGGGGAGGGGAGGGGAAGAGCGGGTAAAGAGGCCCTCGAGGCTCCAGTCACAAAGGGCCCGATATGCCACGTGACACAGCTGGACCTTCAGAGCCATGAGAGCATTTTAAACCAATAAGTGGTGGGCGCCTGGGTGGCTCAGTCGGTTAAGCGGTCTGCCTTTGGCTCAGGTCATGATCCCAGGGTCCTGGGATCGAGTCCCACCTCGGGCTCCCCGCTCAGCGGGGAGTCTGCTTCTCCCTCTCCCTGTGCCCCTCCACCCTGCTCATATTCTCTCTCAAATAAATAATAAAATCTTAAAAAAAATAAACCAATAAGTGGTATTAATCAGATTGAATCCTGAGAGATCACTCTAGCTGCAGTACCCAGAAGATACCTTTAAATTACAAAAGCGAGTGCGTATCCCCAAGGAAAGCATGGAGGAAAGGCGAATGGGTCCAAAACAGAGTCCTGGGCAACACCAGCACACAGTGGGGCTAGGCAGAGAAGAGTCCACAAAGGAGACCAGAAAGGAAGAGCCAGGAGGTCCTGGAACCAGGACAGAATTGCGTCATGGAAGCCAGAGGAGGGTCAAGAGGCAGAAGAGAAGTGCAGAACACCAAGACAAGGACTGAGGAGGAGCCAATGTGCTACATATGCTGAGGCCAGTGGCCTCTCTTACTACAGGAGTTTCTGTGGCACGATGGGGAGAGGTGCTGGATTCCCACGGGTCCAAGCAGTACGTGGGTGGTGGGCGAGCAGAAACGCTACTCTTCTAAGAAACTCGGCTAAGTAGGGAAGCACAAGGTAGTGTGCTAAGAGGGAACATGGAGTCAATGAGTTTGTTTTTTGCTTTTTTCAAGCTACAAGAAACAGGAACATGGTTAGGGTTGGAAGGAAAGAGCCAATTGGGGGGAAGGCTGCATATTTGAAAAGTGAGGGCTAAACAATGAGGCAAAGCCCCACTGGATTTGGGGAGGGACTGAACCAACAACAATGGCTCAAATGCAGAGATGTGGCTTTAAACAGAAGGATGGACACCCCTCTTCAGAGTCCGGAGGGAAAATGGGAAGGACGAAAGCCTATGAAGATGACTTTTTACGTGGAAAACAGGAAGCTGACATAACCATATCTGACAAATTAAATATTCTCAATAAAGTAGGAGACAAGATCATCTGCTTGGAGGGAGGATCTGGTGTTTGAATAGGAAATTTGAAGACAAGAGTCATCCTTTAAGGAGAGTGAGCTAGGAAGATAAATAGAAGGACTGGTGAGCAATAATTGAAAGCATCTATCTGTAGTTGAAGACGACATTTGTTCTATTTTTCTTGAAAACCACATAAATGTCAACTTTTTAAAAAGATTTTATTTATCTGAGAGAGAGAGAGAGCATGAGAGGGGTGAAGGGCAGAGGGAGTAGCAGGCTCCCCGATGAGCAGGGAGCCCAAAGCAGGGCTCGATCTCAGGACCCTGGGAGCATGACCTGAGCCAAAGGCAGACGCTTAACGACTTAGGCCCCCAGGCGTCCTTTTTTTTTTTTTTTTTTGCTTTTTTTTATTTAGGTGCGAGAGATGGATCTTCCGTTCGGTCTTGGGGGGTGTGTTGTGCTCTCAGACTCCCCGGTGCGGAAGTAGCGCGATGGGGGGGTCGGCTCTGGGGCTGGAGGTTCGTGCCGTGGGCCGGCGGGCGAGGCTTCCTTGTGTGTGCGGCCGAGCGGCTCAACCCGGGCCCTGGTTTTCATTTTGCAGTTGGGCCTGGCCATTATGGGCTTGGTGCCCAGTGGGGGGCGGGTCTGTTGCCGGCTGGTGGGGGTCGGTTGGCTTAGGGATGGGATGTAGTGAGTGTGAGGTGGGGTGGGTTGTGGCATGTTGGTGGCTTGGTGTGTTAGGCTTCCTGCTGTTGATTTGTTTTCAGTTTCTGCTATTGCGCCGCTCGTTCTGCTGGGCACTGGTTGTCGGTCGTTTTTAGGGTTTTTTCTCCTGCTTGTGTGGGGGTTGTTTCTGTGGCTCTGCTTCTTTCGTTCTGTAGGTTGAGGGGGGGTGCTGCGTTGTTCCTGCGTGGCGTGGTGAGCGGTGTTCCCGCTGGGGTCAGGCGTGGCGAGCCTTGGTTTTCCTGCGCTGGGGGGTGGTTGTGGCTTTGTTTTTGAGTTTTTCTGGGATTTGCTTTTTTGTGTGTTTGTGTGTTGTGTGTGTGTGTGTGCTTTGTGTGGGGGTTTTTGTGTTTGTTACATGTCGGTGTTGGTGTGCCTGTTATGTGTGGGTGTTTTTGTGCTTGTGCTTGAGTTGTGAGTTTTTTGTTTATGTGCGTTTGACTGTTCTGTGTGTGTGTGGTTTTTTTTTGCGAGTGTTCTTGGTCTGCCATGTGTGGGTGTGCCTAGTATTTGCTTGTTTGTGATTTGTGTTGGGGCGTTTGTGTGTGTTTGTGCTGTTTGTGTGTGCCGTGTGCTGGGTTGTGTTTCTGGCGTGTCGGTGGGCCGTGGTCGCCCGCTCGTTTGGGTTTGGTGTGGCTTTGCAGGGCTTCTGTGTGTGTGATGATTTGTGCGTGGCGGGTGTGTGTTGTTGTGCGTGTTTTTGTGTTGTGGTCTGTGTGGGTTGTGTTGGTGTGGGTGTTTGTCTGTGGCCGTTTTTGCCTAGGGTGCGTTGGTGGGCGGGTCAGGTGTTGGCCGGGAGGGTCAGGGGGTGGTTTAGTTGGTTTTTCTTGTGCCTTTTGCTTGTGTCATGTTCTTTGGGTGGTGCTGTGGTGTGTTGGCTGCGGCTCTCTGCTCGCTGGGGCGGCTGGTTCTCTGTGTGGCCCTCGCGGGGTTCGTTCTCTCCTTCTCTCTCTCACATCCTTAGTCTTTTCACCCGTGGGTGGGGGTGCCTTTGTGGTTCCGTCGTTCTGGTTTTGGGTTGGGCTCATGTGGTGGTTCTGTGGTGGTGGGCTGGGGCCCCGGCTCGGGCTGCCTGCTCCGCGGGACGCGTGCTTGTTGCTCTCCTTCTGCCCTTGCTTGTGTTCCCTCTCTCGGCTCCCACAGAGGCAGATAAGAGGGGACCGGCAGCCAGGGGGCACAACCTAAACAGCCCAGCCCCACCCAGGGAGCCGCACAGCCCTGGGCGGAGGCAGGGCCCATCTCTGGGGGGGTCGGCTCAGGGGCTCCAGAGCTGGTGAGAGCTGGGGGGACCGAGAAAGGCCAGCCTTGGGCTCTGCGTGGGGCTCTGCAGCGTCCTGAGGGGGAAGAGGGTGGAGAGCAGTGTTGGGGCGAAAGACAACTTGAGTAAGAAACATGTCGCTCGCCGGGGCCAGAGGAGCCCTCCCTGCCTCCCCAGCGCCAGGGCTGCCCAGGCGCCCTCCTGGGTTCCCCTCCCAGAGCTGCAGCATGGCGATACTGCCGCCCGGGCCCCCGCAGGGGCAGGAGCCCTCGGATCTGGCCCCCCGCTCAGCTGGCGGGGGTGACCTTGGACCAGCCACTAGCCTCATCAGGGACCTGGGGACGCCCAGTCTCCTCAAAGGGCTATGGTGTGGATGAAATGAGATAATGGGATGAGGAAAGCACCTCATAAACAGAAAATGGCGGGACAAAGGTCAGAGTGTAGTGCTGGGCCCAGAGCCGCCTCCCAGCCCTTCGGCAGAGGACAAAGGGGCTCAGCCCCAGGGTCCCAGCTCCCCTCCCCCACTCAGACCGTCGGGTGGGCACCCAAGGCCAGTGGCTCCGTCTTAGAACTGAAGACACTGGGGAGCAGGGCGGTGTGCTCCGAGTTCCTAAGGTTCATCCCGCACTCCTGGCTGGGCAACTCCGGCGACAAGGGTCACCTCTCTTTAGGGTATGAAGACCCCCCAAGATAACATGGGCCGAAAAATCAGCGGTGCCTAGCACCTCTTCATTTCTAAGACATGAGGTCATTCTTAGGCTAAGTTGCCCAAGGCTCCCCAGCCGAGAGGTGGCCTGACCCGCACAGAGACCAGGGCTGTTTGAGGCTAACCCTTCCCCTTACTCACTTCGACTAACCTGCTTGTGCAGTCACAGGAATACTTTGTCCAAAATGGCTCCAGAAGATTCTAGCTTCCTTCATGACCCCACTAGCCTCTCCAACCAACTTCCCCACTTTCCTTTTTACTATTCCTTATTTCTCCAGAGCAAGGCCCACTTCCACACGTCTGGTTTTCTAAGCTCCCTTCCTTACCCACAGCCTTCAGTGAATAATCTGCTATTTCCAAGACAACTAAACAGCATTTTAAACTTACAAAATGGCTTTTTAACATGCTCTATGGAATTTGAAGCCTCAAACTTAAGGAGCTTTCCACTGGAAGATATTCTTCATGAGGAACCATACGTACACCTCCTCTTAGTAAAATCCTCTCCTAGAACCTGGCTGCAATATCACTGTGGAGACACAGCAACACAGTTCTGGAATGTACTGAGGATTAAGTCAGAAGAGCCCTCACCCTGGGGACACCCCCAGGGTAAAAGCTACTGAGCACCAAGGTGCTGCCCTAGAGGCCTTGGCTGAGTCGCTGGCCCTATTGAACCTCACTTTCTGCATCTGTAAAATGGGAGGGATAAATCTCCCTCTCTCTTTTTGGGAGAGGATCAGGTGGGCTGAGGGGCTGTCTGACCCAGTGCCTCGCGTACACGAGGCTGGCAAACGTTTATTCCTTCCCCCCTTCTTTCTTATCAAGTACTCATCTCCATTTTGTTTTCTGTTTGGGGCCAACACGGCTGGAGTCTGAGGCGTCTATCCCATAAGGCTCGATACGTAATTCTAGACTTCTTAGAGAGCGTCGGATCCAAACCCCAGCCTTTCAGCAAGGAAGCAGGCCCAGAGGGCTGACTTGGCCAAGGTCACGGGGCAAATGTGTCGCGGCAGCCGGGCTGGCCCAGTGTCTGGCTGGCCGAGCTCATGCCCTTGCTTGCACGGAGCCTGGGAAGCTTTCTCAGTCTCACCTTGTTTCCTTTGCTTGCCCTCCAGCCACCCTGGGGCAGCTTGTCTGTAAACCGAGCCCTCCTGCTCTCGGACACCTGTCCCTACCCTGCAGGCCTGCCTCTGCCTTCACCCCCAGCCCGGTAAAGCTCCTGCCCCGCCCCTCCTCCAACCCCACGGCCTCATCCAATCCAGAGGCCCCAATTTCAGTATGCAGGTAGCTAAGACAAAGGTTAGAAAAAGCGCAGAAGACACTTTATTGGAGGTCTCTGCTTCCATTCACAG